ATGGTATTATTTCTGTTTTCTTATATTTGCTGAGGCTTGCTTTGTGCCCTAGGATATGATCTATTTTGGAGAAGGTTCCATGGGCTGCTGAGAAGAATGTATATTATGTAGAAGTTGGATGAAATGTTCTGTAGACATCTACTAGGTCCATTTGATCTATTGCATATTTTAGATCTTGGATTTCTTTATTGATTTTTTGTTTGGATGACCTATCTATTGATGATAATGGGTGTTAAAGTCTCCCACAACCACTGTGTTGGCGTTATATATGCTTTTAGGTCTTTCAGGGTATGTTTGATGAAATTGGGTGCGTTGACATTGGGTGCATACAGATTGATGATTATTATTTCCTTTTGGTCTATTTCCCCTTTTATTAGTATGGAATGTCCTTCTTTATCTCGTTTGATCAATGTAGGTTTGAAGTCTACTTTGTCAGAGATAAGTATTGCTACTCCTGCTGTTTTCGGGGCCATTGGCTTGGTAAATCTTCTTCCAGCCTTTCATCCTAAGCATATGCTTATTTCTGTCGGTGAGATGGGTCTCCTGTAAGCAACAAATTGTTGGATCTTCTTTTTAATCCATTTGTCAACGGTGTCTTTTGATGGGTGAATTAAGTCCATTAACATTAAGCGTTAGTACTGATAGGTATGTGGTGATTCCTGCCATTTAGTTGTCTTAGTTGTTTGAAGGTTTGATTGTGTGTACCTAACTTGATGTTACTCTCTACTGTCTTGCTTTTTCTTATCCCAACAGATTCGATTAACAATTATTAGTGAAGACCAAAATACAACAGAATTTCATAGGTGCTGGGAGGTTAACAGGTATGAAATATCTCACTGCATCTTCTAATCACCTGCGGTGGCTGATACTTGCACACACTCCTGTGAGGATCTTTTGGGACATGTGCCTGCACTGCCAGCATCAAACAGAGAACATTGTAGACTCAACCCAATTACAAAGCTCACTTCTTTTATAACACAGGCAGTCTCCAAACTAAGTGAAATTTCTCATGAATTGCTCATCCACGTTAAGTTGTTTTTTTGGTCACACTGCACTATTTTCATAAATATACATTATCCCTATTGAAATATCATCTACTTTTTATCCCCATAAGCTCTAGAATCATAATTTTGAAATGTTTTATAAAATCTTCCAGGTTTTTAGAAAAGAAAACAGCAAGTGCTGATTTATAAAACGTTTCTGATTAAGACTTTGGAATATCACCACCTCAAATGCTTTTATGATTCTAAAATTTTGATTCCATTTCGTTTATTTGAATGAAGAATTCAGAGCATAAATCACTGAGAAAATTTTTCAAAAAGAATGCAGTTTCCAGTTCATTGAAACACTGAATAAATTCTATGTGGCTTAGTGTAGGTCCAAAGTGCTAATATGTATGCTGTTTTACAGTTACTATGTAGGATATAAATAAACTTCCTCAGCATTACAATAGGATTTATGTTTAAAACAATTTTACTTGGTTAAATTTAATATATAATTCTGACATCATGAAGAGGCCAATTGAGACTCCCTTTTCAGTTCCTGTGTGGCTCACTGATCCCTTTTTTCTCTTCCTCTCACCACCTGCACCCAACTCCCTTTAGTTTTGCTTGTTTGAGACAAGGTCTAGCAGAGGGCTGGCCTGTGACTTACAATTCTCTTGCCTTAGCCTACCTGACAGCTGTGATTACAGGCATGAGCCAACACATCCAGCTTCCTTTTGTTTTTAATGGAGTTATAACCAAATCTTCTTGTGATGATAAGCTGGTTATAAAACAACTTTAAAAAACAATCTCAAAGTTACTTTACTATAATTCCCCAACTACAAAGGTCTACATAGTTAGCTATGGCTCAGTATACCTTATCAGAAACACTTGACACCAGAAGTATTTCTGATTCTGGAATATCTGCATATAAATGAGATGTCTTAGGAGTGGAATCCAAGCCTAAACATGAAGTTCATTTATTTCAGCATTCCTTGTATACACAGCCCGAAGGTAATTTTAAATAACTTTGTGCATAAAAGGAAGTTTCATGGTGTAGCATTTTCTACTTGTAGTGTCATATCTGCATTCAGAAAGTTCTGGATTTCATGTTTTCAGATTAAGGATGTTCAAGTTACATCAGATTACTGGATTTAGCTTTTGGATGATGGAAAAGATTTAAGGAGGTTGAACCAGAGGCAACATTCTGCTTGACAAGCAGACAAAAACAGAGGAAAAAGTGAAACGTGCAAGCAATCTGATTAAAGAAAAACTTGCCTTAAAGATTTAAAAGACTCAGGCCAGTGGAATGGTTCAAATGGGTAGAGGACTTGCCTAGCAAGGTTCCTGAGTTCAAACTCGCAGACTAAAAAAAAAAAGATAAACACTCCAAAAGAGATGAGACCTAAAATCATGTGGAATTGGGCATGTCTTGTATTCCCTGAAGGTTCAGCAAAAATGGCAAAGACAACAGAGATAGAATAGAATCATTAAATTTTCTCATAATTTTCACAGAGCCAGCCAGCTGTTACTAGAAAGCATAACTCCTCAGTCCTAAAGCCAATGGCATCAGAGTCCTGAAATAGAGCATCCCACACAGCTAGAGCTTGTAGCAAAGAGAGACACTTCCCATGAAGAGTGGATTGCCACTTTCCTAAAAAACATATCTAAGCAAGAATAATGTCTCAAAAGTGAGCAAAGAAATACAACATGTGGACACTGAAAGTAAGATGTCATGTTCAGAGTCAGGTATACAGAAATCTAGAAAGCTAGAATGAAAAAAACCATCAATCTATAGGTAGAAAGAAGCAGCCAATCATTAAAGAATCAAATGATACTATGAGAATATCCAAGAGGCACATAAAACAGTGTGATCAGTCCTAACAGTTGCCTTAGTTCCCATGGCTTTCCAATCCACATAAGTTTCTAGTAAATCCTTCTGCTCTGTTTGGTAATTGGAGTCTCTGCTCCTGCTCTCTTCAGGTAATATGAACCTCTGCTCCTTACAAGCTTAACAGTCTAATGCAAGCCAAGTATCACAATCACTTCCAAGTATTTCCCTTTATAGAGTAAAACTAATACTCTGCCAATACCCTTTTAAAATGGATATAAGCGTCCCTTTCCTGAGACAGAGAACCTATCCCATGTGGTGTACATGGTACTGGTAACACACACTCAACCCCCACCCTCCTTAAAATACCTACAATCGCAAATTAAAAAATTAAAAACTGTATTTGCTTCTTCCATCTTTCCCAAAGATCCCTTGCAAATGGCACAAAGAGGAGCACATCATCTCACTTTTCAGTTTTAAAAGCTAGCAACTCACTTTCACAGTAAAAATATAATATTCTGAAGAGTCAAATACACATAGAATTCAGTAACATTTCTAACAATTAAATTTGCCCCTGCTTTATTTATCTCTCTCTCCACATATACTATGAAAACAGAAACTGCACTGATCTTGTTTCCAGCACCTGGCATATGGCAGGTGTGTTACAATTTTTTAAAATAATGAATCAATGAGAGATGCCTATTCATGCACTCATTTCATAATCACTGCTTCTTCTGACTCAGAACCCATTATCTGTAAAATACTCTACTGGCTACCAGAGGAGGAACAAAGGTCAGATATGAACTCAGCCCTCAAAGAAGATGGTTCCTCTATGTGGATTTCTGAAATACGGCACACTACTTACAAAAATACCTTTAAAACAATGGTGAGATTTTGTATTAAATTTGAAGGGATTCCCAAGGTAAAAACTCCAAACTTTGTAAGACAAATAAGGATAAAAGTACATTTAAAAATGTTATAGTCTTTTATTTACTCGTTTTTATACTTGTTTTGAAAGGTGATTGAGATAGAGCCTAAAGAGACCAAAACAAGTCTTTGAATATTTCCGCAGAAAATTAGTTTACAAATTGTGTGATTTCTTGCTTTGTGTAAAGCACCATTAATTATACGTGTGTAACTAAAACATGAAAACCAGTACGTACACCCCAACATTTTCAATGCATAAAGCATAAATGAGATAGGAAATTTCTGATTGTGAGTAGAGAAAAGGAGAATAATTAATATTGGTAGAATCCGGTCAAGATAACAGTAAACTGATTGCCTCTGGGAGCCCTTAATTTTTTTTCAAATCTTACACTAAACTATCTTATTAATTTTAAGGGTTACATTTTCTTAAAAGCAATAACTAAAATATAGATAATAATTAATAAATAAAGTACTGGAGGAGTAGAGGGAAAATATGTACAATTTTAGGGCCGAAATTCTGAAAAACCCTTCCTCTTGATCATAGGTTTCAACCAAATTTTCACCATCATCCTCTAGTGGCCAAGTTTATGCTTAAAAGGGAAAAGCACTTTCACAAAAATTAACTTTACCACAGAACCTATCAATTGCCAATATGTACTGCTCCACAATAAACAAGTTTTCTTCAACTGTAAACTGTAATTTTTTTAAAAACCCCAAATTTCAAGAGACTAGGAATCCTACAAAAAGTTTAAAGTTCATTGAATTTTGCTTTCTACTTCTTTAAAATGAAGTAGAAATATTTCAATTGCTATTGAAGAAAATTTTTTTTCAGTCCTTGTGTTCAAAAAAAGCTAAGGCTGTTTAATAGCTACAAGAGTAGTATTTGTTTCCCGTTTTTGGGCATGCCGGGGATCAAACCCAGGACCTTGAGGACCTTGTGCACGCTAGGCAAGTGCTCTAACACTGAGTGAGCTACACCCCAGTCCAGAAGTAGTCTTCTAAGGATGATAAAAATAGAAAGCACCAAACTGAAGTCAATTCCCCAACAAGAACAATTACCAAATGTTAGAGGTAGAAGTCACCCCTCTCTTTCATAAAAGTAGGAAACCAGAGGCATTGGCAAAAAGTTACGCTTTGAAGAAGCTGACATGAGGGAAATTTTATACAGCAGATATAGGCCAAATATAACTTAATAATGTCAGTACCACACAGTACATTTTAGAACATAAAATTAAACTCAACAATTCCAAGGTACTTACATTAAGAAGTAACTCATCTTTTGTTTTAAGAGGAAAATTCTTATTTTCATTCTCAACTTGGTTTTAAATCATCATTCCTCCCTCTGATAGCACGGGAAGGAAGTGATAAACACAGGAAGATGATGAGAATGATGAGGAAGATGATAGAGAAGAAGAAGCTAGAACTATCTGAATCTGTCTCACTATAGAGAAGAAAAAGTTGAAAAATTTGGTCATTGCATTATATCAAAATGAAATTATTCAAGTAGGAAAATAGCTACATTGTTTACTACTGCTGATATAATTTAAAAAACTAGCATTTCAAACTGACAATGATACTGGGAAAGTAGTTTTTAGTCCACCACTTAACATTTTCAAAACCTGTGATACAACCCAAACCCTTTACTGCTACAGCCAGGCATCTCTCTTAGTCACCAATGAGTAGACTACTTAATGGCAAGAAAGAGTTTCTTCTCGATCTTCACACAACTGGGGAACTCCTCAAAGCTGAACTCTACACTGAAAACTCCTTTGGCCCATGACTTCCACATAACTTGTTGCTGGCTCCCCCATGCCAGCCCATTTGATGTGCTATTTTTAGGGTTTCATCTACAATGACTGTCTCTCTTCGATCTACTCTACCTGAATAGCCTCTTCCATTCCAATAATTTCAATCACCATCCTCATGCAAATTAACTCCTGAAACTTCAGCCTTGACATCACTATACTCCATTCCTTATGTATAGCTGCATACTGATCCCACCTGTATGAATGACCAATGCATACCTCACATTTTCAACAAGTTAAAAACAAGGAAAAAAAGTACATTCTCCTATCTAAACCTGTTTTTCCCTTTTGAGCTTCCACTATATTTTACTACTTCGTCTTCAATCCAGTCATGGTGCATGAAACCCTGGAATCATTTTATAGCTATTGTATTCTAGGTCAATGACAAAATTCTATCTTCAGATTGGTAATTAATTCTAGTCCACTTCTTCATCTTATTTCCCATTTCTTTCTCTTTCATTAATAGTGTGTTACTGATATCAATGATAGCCTCTCTTTCAAAAGCAATCAGCCTTTTATTATCTCATGCTGTTTTACTTTCACTTCTCATGACCTTCCCTCTGATTCTAAATCAGTTCATGATCTTGCTTTTAAAAAATTGGTTTATGACTGGAACAACAGATAAGATTCTTAATGTTAAATATATGATAGTCTAATATTTACGCATGGTTTTATAACTGTATCGTGCTTACGTAAGAGAATCTTCAAGAGGACATGCTGAAATATTTAAAGATAAAGTAACATGGTATCTGTGAGTTTAAAATGGTTCAATAACATATTAAATAGCTCCAAAATGTTAATAATTGTTAAATCAGGGTAGTGGTTATATGGGTTTGTATTATTCTTTCCATTTTATATTAAGAAAATATTCAAAAACAGAAAGCTTAAAAAGTTTTCCCTTAAATCTATAATGTGTACAAGACAAAAGATATGCTCTTCCGCATGAATTCTCAGAGCTTTTGCAATCAGGTCCCTGGTAACCTCACAGAGCCTATTCTAGCATTCAAGCTCATGTGACTTTCCAAATCCCCTTGCTTTTTCACTTCCACATGTCATTGTGCTACTGCTTGAAATGCCCTCAGCCCAGAAAAATTCTATTCCTCATTATAGGCTCAACTTAAATTCTACCTTCTCCAAAGCCACCCTCTACTCACCAAGTTTACTTTCTTCCCTAGTTCCCACAGTACTTTTTTCAAATGGGCTAGTTTGTGTGGTACTATACCATAATTCCTTGAAAACCATGCTGGGTTACAAAAAACTTGAAACCAAAAATGTCTAGTGTATGTACTGAAACAATGCTTAACTAACGTGGGCAAAAGTTGTACTCCTTTTCACTTTTTCAAATATTTGGTACCCTCTGCTACCATTCCCAGCGAATCAGAAGTCATGCTCTGACACTAAATTGTTCTATTATGAGCCTCTATCCCAGTGTCTGCCTTCAAACTCTGACACCAAATCACCTACCAGTTACACTTCACTTTCCCAGTGATGTGGGATATGAACTCCCAAAGATGACTATAATCTTACAAGTGCAAAGAAATCCAACCTTGTTTATAATTAGCTTTCCTGACACAAAACTCAAAAGCTCTAACATGCCAATCTGAATAGCTATGGGAATAATCTTCCTCCTCCCAGTCTATTCATACTTTCTCCCTCTACTAAAACCCTTCACCCTTCTCCATTTCCACTCTCAGTTGATGACTTCCCTGAAAACTCCTTACCACCTCATCATGTGTCTATCTTGTTCACTTGTTCAGTATCCCACATACAACATACACAAACACTTGTAGACAATGTTTAAGTGAGGCCTCAGTAACATCCATTTCTGCAATCTTCCTCCACCACACGGAGTAAGACCCAAGGGAAAGGACACTTTATAAAAGCTACGCAGAACATACAATACAAAATAACTAGCTAACTTCATGAACTTAAGGCTCCCTACAAGGATTCTACGAATTAACATAATTGTCAACTTTGATACACAATCCCCGATTCACCCGGTTCAAAACACAAGACAAGGCTAGACTTGATGCAAAAAAAAAATTGTAGCAAAACTCAAAGGCTGTAACAACAATGGTAGTTACGGAAGAAATCTTCTAATTTCAGGTTTCCCATATTCTAACTAAAAAGCATATTATCTATACATAGACCAGGCTACCAAATTTCGGAAGTGAGAAGTGATCGGACTAAACTTCAATTTACAAGATTTGCAGCCAATGGGGTCTAACACTAGGAAGTCAACATCGTGCACTTGGGCACTCGCGAGCCAACAGCCCTCCGTGGGTCGCACGGTGCGCCTGCACTCCCCACGCGCCGGCCACACAGGGACCCGTAAGCAACTCGACCTGTCCCTGAGTCCGATCTGAATCCGAGTCCGAGGTCTCTGAGCCGAGGTGCTTGCGGGTCCTGCGCGCCGGCTCCGCGGGGCCCAGGCGGGTGACGCGGCCCCCGGGGGGCGGCCCTTCCGACTGCGGCTGCGGCGCGGAGCTCCCGCCCGCGTCGGCACTCAGCGGAGGCTGGGCCTCCACGTCCTGCTCAGGGCCCGGACACTTCTCCTGCGACTCCGACGGCTGCGGACCTGGCGCGGGACCCGAGTCCGGGGACGGCACCCCCGGACACTGGCCAACGCCAAAGCCGGTGACACTGAATTTCAGTGTTTCCAGCTGAGCGGCGGCGGCCTCCACTACCTCCATTGCGCCGCGCCAGGGGCCGAGTTTGCCTCGCGTGCTGGACCAGGGAAGAGCGCTGGGCTCTCCCCCGGAAAGAGAAAGCCTCACAGTGCCTGAGCCAAACCTCCCGCGTTCCGCAGGTAACTGCACGCGGAGAGGCCCGCAGACACGCCCCCGGCGTGACTGACGGCACTTCCGGGACAGCGTGTGACGTAACGTGACGCGACGACGCGACGGCGCGACGGCGCGACGGCGCTCACAGGGCCTGGCGGACCTGCTGCACCTTTGGGATCCCGACTTCAGGAGGCCCCAAATCCGCTGTTTTCACTGTTTCGTGGGAACAAGTCTCCCGCCTGGCCGGAAGCAAGGCCTTCCTATTCCTGCGACTTAGCCAATTCCACTGGAAGCGCCGACATGGATTATGGGACAGGGGTGATGCCTAAGAGTGCCAACCTCTTTACATCAGAATCGAACAGGAAGTCTTGAAAAGACACCTAGTTATTTCATTCAAAGTGAATTAGATTGACGGATCAAAGGTAGAAAGCTAATGTTCAATTTGATGTATCAGTACTTTGAGTAATAATAATCTGATCCAATTTAGTAAGTATGCATAGATATTAAGGACTGTGCTAACCATTTTATAAATTATTCACTGAGAATTTAACTGTTTTCGGTTAAGTTCTACATAGTATACTCTCATTGAAATGCAAGGATTCCTTTCCTAACCCCGCGGACACCAAAATTTGAGGACATTTAAGTTTGTCATGTAAAGTGGTGTAATATTTGGATACAACCTTTGCTCATCTTCCCATATACTTTAAATCCTCTCTCGATAAGTATAATATATAAAAAATGTAAATCTTATGTAAATAGTTGTTTTACTGTATTGTTCCAAAAATAATCACAAGAAAAAGATGGTACATGTGCAGTATAGATACAATTTTTTAAAGTTTTTTCAATCAGTAGGTGTTTGTATCCATGGATGTGGAACCTGCAGACATGATCAGCCAGCCAAACATAATCCTAATTTTAGGAAGTTTATAATCTAGTTGAAGGGGAAAAGGAGATAACTAGAAACATTTGAAATATGAAATAGAAGTAAAGAAACTATGGGAAGTTAGGTGGGACTGTTGAGCTGTATCATGGAAATCCTCCCGAGTGAAGCAGGAATAAATTTGAGATATTATACACTAATGCAATGATTAAACAGAGCTCAGTCTTCCAGCTAAATAGACCTATGTTGAAATCTTTGTTCTACCATTTTGTTGGTGTAACTGACCTTGAGGTATGTAATCTCACATACCTAAATCTCAATTTTCTTATTTGTAAAATGGAGACAAAAATGCTATTTCATAAACCAAGCATAGTGCAACATGCCTGTAATCCCAGCACTGGGGAGGTAGAGGCAAGAGAATTGTGAGCTTGAGGCCAGCTTGGGCTATATAGTGAGTTCCAGGCCAGTCCATGCTATGAGACAAGCAAACAAACAAAAAATACTATCTCATGGAGCATTGAATAAGGTTTTATCAAAGAGAATGTCATGTCATACATATATTTAGTGTGCAAAAAAAAACTTGAAAACTGAATTTATGAATAAAGTAATATGTCATTGACAGTAATTTTTCAGAGCTATGCAATCTGAATTTAAGGAAGGAAGAAATTTAGTCAACAAAAAGTCTGCTGCCTTTTTCAATAATTAGATGATGACAGTCTGAACCTAGGTTAGTGAAATGAAGGAAATTCCAAACATCAAGAGAGAAAATCGAAGTTATCTAAATTTTCTGAATGAGGAAATTAGAAATAAGTAGGTATTAACAATAAGAATGGAGACTTTGGAAAATGCTAATGAACATATGAATGTGAGTTTGAGCAAAATCAAGCAGTCCATTGAAAGTGCCAAAAGAAATTTTAAAATAAGAGACGGCCATTCAATAGAAAGGATAAGGAAGAATATTAAATTTGCTTATTTCAGTTGTTTTTGACTGAAAACTCATTTTATATGTATTTTGCTCTTCTTAAACTCTTGTCTTAGATGATGGATCTGGGCAGCCAATAAATAACATCTCTTTATTCTCCTCCTGAGTAGAGAGCAATCTAGGAAAAAAAATTCACAAGATGGTTGAATGAAAAAAAAGCCCATATCTTAATTACTGATAAAATTGATTACAGTCTTGCACAGTGGTACATGTCTGTAATCCCAGCTATTCAAGAGGTAGAGGAAGGTAGATAGTAAGCTCAAGGAGGGCAGACTATTTAGTGAGACCCTGTCTTAAAAAAAAGTGCTGGAGATGTAGTTTGGTGAAAGAGCTCTTGCCTAGTATGTAGGAGGCCCTGTTTGAATCTCCAGTACAGGAAAAGGGGGAAGAAGACTGGAGATGTGGCTCAAGTAGTAGAGATCCTGCTTTGCAAGCTTGAGGTCCTGAGTTCAAGCCCCAGTACTGCCAAAATAAATAAATAAAGATTACAAAATCTGGTTTTAGTTCTGCAGCAAAGACAAGGGATTAGATAGACTTGCCTCCCCAGCTAGAATTTTCATGCTTCCCCTGGAGGAACATATGAAACATTTACTAGCTATATAACCTTGGAAGAATCATTAAATCTTTTTTTTTCTGTGTGTGGTATTGGGGCTTGAACTCAGGGTTTACACCTTAAGCCATTCCACCATCCCTTTTTGTGATAGATTTTTTTTGAGATAGGGTCTTGCAAACTATTTGCTGGGTCAAGGGTAATTCACCTACTGGTTCGTTCATTCAGTAGTCATTTACCTAACATTTCTGTGTGCGATGCACTGCACTATGCACTGTGTTTACAGGAAAGTAAGTAAATCACTGTTGCTGCTGTGAAGTAATTTAACAGTTTAGTCAAAAAGACAAGTTAAAAAAAGTGATATGTAATAAAGTAGAGAAATACACTATAATATAGTCTTATACTATAGTAGAAGAATGTACAAATGGGAAAAAACAGAGAGAAGGCACTAGGAAAGCAAAGAAAGACATAGTATAATATTAGAGACATATAATGACTATAAGGTTAATGGTAATCATCAAGTCTACTCAAGCAACTTGGGCCCATACAACACATCACTTAACAATACATTACTACTGGGCTGGGAATTTATAACCCTGGTCCAGGAATATTCAAAAGACAAGACTACCTCAGCACAGATGCAACTTTCATGAACCTTAAACAACGCTATCCTTACCAGAATACCTCCTGAAAGAAAAACCTTGTAACTGACCCACACCAAGTACAGGAATAAGAAAGGAGGAAAGTTACCCAAAACCTGGGAAATGTCACTGGATGGAGACTCTCCTGACCAGTCATCAGACTCCCTGATTATATCTGGCCCGTGCCACTGACCTGCCCCCACTATCCATCTTGTAAAACCAGAATAAAATGTTTTAGCATCAGATAGTGTCTAACATTCATCTCTGGTTCAAACAGAACCAAAGGGGAGATGTGGTCTATAGGAAAACTAATTAACTAGGACCAACCACCCCCGCCATTACAGTAGAAGTTTCCACAATGTGTGATGTCTGAGCTGGGTCTTTAAAGAGAGCCATGAATTTGTTAATCTGAGAAAGCAGGGAAACCTCACAAGGGAGAATAAATAAAATGAAATTTCCTGCTTCAACCCTAAGTATGTATAACATTTAGTAGAAAATGCCCACCTGTGGTTTTAAAGGTTTACCTAATATCCATGCTCCTTTCCTCTCCTATCGTTATCTTGTACCATCTTCACTGCTCTTGTGTCCCACGCATTCTGGTCCTGACCACCCAAACTAAGAATACCCCCAATATCAGTCCCTTCTTAAATTATTGCTGATGTTTTTCTTTTACATAATTCTTATCTTCACATAAAATGATACTTATTTGCTTTATTGTCTCTTTTTTTGTATTCAAATTAAGTCTTAAGAATCCAGGAACTTTGTCTAATTCATAGGTGTTTTCTTCCAAACCATAATAATAAAACCGGTAATGATGTTTAAATGAGGGAAATAGTAAGAATTGCATAATAATAATAAAGTTTGGTGAGACAATCACAATAAGGAGGATGCCTTACAGATAGTATCTAAGGTGATACCTAAGTTACTCATTCACTTGAAATTAACACAATGATAGCGAAGAAAAGGCTACTGTTGCAGATAAAAATCTTTTGTGAGAGAGATGGGTCACCAGGTTTCAGAATAAGAAAAGCCATACCTGCACCTAGCATTGAAATAGGTCACTCTTTTTCAATAGGTAGTTTTTCTAAGTGCTTGAATGTTTCAAAATACCCTGAATTTTCCTCTGGTACTTCCAGAACCTTCCCATCTACTGCATTATTTCTAATAGCTGGTAAACTTAGCCTGAAGTCTTTAGCCTAAGCTAAATCTAACTCTTTGAAAGAGTGCACAGGATTCCTGTTAAAATTAAGAGAGAGTTTATCTTTAGTTATTTATGAGTTTAAAGGCCAAATCATATTTCAAAGTGAACATGTAAAATGACATTCTTTTTTTTTTTTCATTTTTCTTTTATTATTCATATGTGCATACAAGGCTTGGTTCATTTCTCCCCCCAGCCCCCGCCCCCTCCCTTACCACCCACTCCGCCCCCTCCCACTCTCCCCCCCAATACCCAGCAGAAACTATTTTGCCCTTATCTCTAATTTTATTGTAGACAGTATAAGCAATAATAGGAAGGAACAAGGGGTTTTGCTGCTTGAGATAAGGATAGCTATACAGGGCATTGACTCACATTGATTTCCTGTGCGTGGGTGTTACCTTCTAGGTTAATTCTTTTTGATCTAACCTTTTCTCTAGTACCTGTTCCCCTTTTCCTATTGGCCTCAGTTGCCTTAAGGTATCTGCTTTAGTTTCTCTGCGTTAAGGGCAACAAATGCTAGCTAGTTTTTTAGGTGTCTTACCTATCCTCACCCCTCCCTTGTGTGCTCTCGCTTTTATCATGTGCTCTGGTCCAATCCCCTTGTGTTGTGTTTTGCCCTTGATCTAATGTCCACATTATGAGGGAGAACATACGATTTTTTGGTTTTTTGAGCCAGGCTAACCTCACTCAGAATTGATGTTCTCCAATTCCATCCATTTACCAGCGAAAATGATAAACATTTCGTGCTTCTTCATGGCTGCATAAAATTCCATGTGTATA